CCTTCCTACTCCAATCCCTTCCTCAGCGGTACCTGCGAGAGGCTATAGCAGACAACAAAACCCGGGTAGACTAGAGGCAAGGTGAGGGCTGAGAGCTTCTAACGCAGCAGGAAGCTGACAGGTGACCTCGAAGGGGCAGCTGTCACGTACGCCGCAAAAAATCGCTACCGCGTTCTCTAGCTCGCATGCGGTGAAACACTGTTCTGAGGACTCTGTTCTGCACAAATCGACTCAAAGCTTTAGAGGGGGTGATGTTTAAAAGGGGGTGGAGAGGAATTAAAGGTGTTCCAGCTGTAATTAATTCACAATCTGAGTGAGAGTAGCACAATTTTATTCCTACGTGAAACTGTATGGTAGAAATAAGAACTGTTTATTGGGTTCAATTTTTTTTTTTTTTATTGTCACTTGCACAGTAACATCCACAGAAGTGATTCAGGTAATCATTCTGGAGCTGTGCACAAGAGATGGGTTTTTGTTAGCTAGTGACAGATGGAAAATACCTGTGGCTATAAACAACAGCACATTAAGGCCAGGAGTTTTCTCTGTAGCGCTATCAAATAAAAGCGAATTTACTGGGTTTTGTCACATCATAGATTTCTAGATCTCAAATCTTCTTGCCAGCTAAATCTGTTAAGAAACTCTACACAAGTCATTGAAGCTGAATGAGAAACGAAAGGTCCTTTGTATTATTTACTATGCATATGATCACATTCATAATGTAATAAAATTCTTAATGTAATAAAAATCACAGTACCACAATTAACGTCTATTGTATGTTCATGCCAAAAAACGTTCGACGTTTGTCATTATCAGCTAAAAAGCTGAGCATCTGACAGATGTAATAAACGTTACATCTTGCTTTGCACACAGAGCCTGACGGGTGCCCTGTGCTTGCAACGGGAGGAACCCTACCGCAGAAGAGCTGCCAGGCTCCGACCCACCACCAAGGCTCAGGCCAAGCTATTCCTAACGTGATTACGCAGTGACAGACAGTGAGAAACTACCACTCAATTCTCGTCTGCTTTTTAAAGCCCACTTAATAACGCAGCGCCAGGGCTCCTCCATGCTTGAAATCTTCCCCAAGTCCCCAGGGAAGTGTTGGATTCTCCTCCCGCTTCTGTGGCCTCTCTCGAGTAGGTCAAAGATAGAGGGTTTGTCTTGGGTACACTCAAAACATGGATTTAATATCACATCTTCTCACACAGCATCAGCGCACCGTTTTCGTCATACACAGAACAACGCTCCACACCCCAGCCCTGCTCAGCGCCTGCCATCCATCTCCCCTATCCGTCCTCTGCGAACTCAACGCATGGCTGCAGCACAACCCCTTACTCCCTCATTTTTCTCCCTCGTGCTCCGCCACCAATGTGCCTTCCGCAGTGCTCCCTCCACAGTTCCCCCTCTCGGTCACCTCCTGTAGTCATAGCCCGTTCAGCTGCCTGGCCCCATCAGACCCCATTGTCCTGCCTTTCCTGATTCTCCCTTGTCCTCAGCTCTTTAAATCCCTGCTTAACACTCTCTTAAAACCCTCACCTGAGAGCTGGGGGTGCCACCAAGGCCACCCTCGGGGCTCTCATGGCCAGCTCCTCAGAAGAGAGGACCCCTCAGACCAGGGCACCCTGCCTCCCGGCACCAATCACCTCTGTCCTGTTCCTCCTGCTTCTGCTCTGACACCTACCGGTCATCAAGCATACATTCAAACATTTCCAAAGAAAATACAGTGTGTAAAAGCAACATCCAGAGCACATCTGCCTCTGCTTTTTGCCTCTCTCAGAACCTAGGTACTTAGTAGCAGGAGCCACCTTCCTTCTACTTCAGCACATGCCCAGTGCTTTGGAGCACCGCTCTTGTATACGCACACGCTGGCATCGTTTGCACTCTTCACAGCACGAACAGGAAATAAGCTCCAAACATGCTCCAGTGGGTTCACCTCACAACAGGGGTAGTATATAGCTGTCCTTGAAACTGTATTTTGCTTTAAATAATTATGTCAGTAGGCAGACAGCCTAGTGATGGACACCTTGTTTACAAAACAAAAGCAAACAAAAGTCTTTACAGGCTCACATGAGTTGCCAACTAGAAAGGGAGTAGAGCGGAGGGTGTGGGAGCTCATAACTTGTGGTCTTTCCTGCCAATAAAAGACAAGGGAAGGAAACAGAGACAAAAAAGAAGCCACACAAAGAGCACTTCATCTGGGAACACGGGCGATATGCTGAAGCAGGAAACACGCAGGGACAGAGCCGACGGGCGCCATCCGTGCAAGTCTGTTCTCCGGGAGGTCCCCAACATCCAAGTGCCACCTAGCGTTTCAGCAGCCCTCCTGCAGCCAGCGCCACAAAGCGCGCGCGCTCTCTGCGCAGCACAGCGCAAGGCTTCGCCTACTCGTTCACTGGCCTGGCCACAAGGTACGCAGCTTAAAAAAAAAAAGTCAGTAACCTGAATATGACTTTAAAAATTCAAATCTCAAAGTGCACAGTAAGTACGGTCAATGAAACATTCAGCAGCACAAAGCAATGAGGCAAGCAGCAATTAGCAGCCTTGAAAACTGCAGAGAAGGTAAGAAGCTACAGATTATCTAAATTCTCCATTTCATACCAGCTCCAGACCCAGTAAGGTACAACTTAAACTTTAAATATTAAGTCTTCTGCTCTGAGAAAGAAGCACGCATCTTTTCTTCTGCTCTCCTTACACTGACATTGTCCCATGACTACTGTGCAAGCATCAGGTACATCGTCACTGATGTGCGATAATGAATTATTACTGCTCAGCAGTCTTCATCTCAGAGTAAAATTGTCACGTCATTAAGACGACAAACAAACCTGACAGACCTTCACAGAAAGGTTTAGTCTCCAGAACTGGGCAGCACATCTTCAAGAGAGCTGTTTAGGGGCCAAAACAGGCATGCTTTCAGAAGGCCCAACCTCAAGTCACAAAGTTTCACAAAACAAAGGCAGTAATAACAGACAACAACAGAATAAATATCCTACTTTGAAAGGTCTCACTACCAACATTGCCTTTTGAAAGTCAAAGAAAAGGTTTGTTGGTAGTATTGCTGGAAATTAGAAAACCCTTTTGGAACGCAGACAATAAGAAGGAAAAAAAGATACAAAAACTGTCAAGTGCAGAAGGGCAACAGGACAGAACCGCATTATCTGACCCCAAACGCAGATGAAAACAAAGAGCCAGCACTTAAACTTCAGAGCTTATCACACCCTTCCTACTTATTTTTTTTAAAAACTGTTTGTTAAAATTCCTGACTTCATCCAAGAATTACGGTTAAAGATCGTTAGCTCCATCTGCCTGCTGTAACAGGTCTCCTTCCTCTTTGTTCACTACCCCTGAAGTTGGCAGATGTTCGCTGCAGGTGTCTTAGTCCCCTGAAAGGCTACAATCCATCTGATTCCTGCCTCTCAAAGGTGCAGAGCATCTCAGGATGCACACTCTGGTAACCTTCACCCTTCGGTCCTGAACACAAGCTATGCAACACGGACCTCCATATTAAGACAAGAACTGAATGTAACAGTTGGAAGTAGTGACAGAAGACCAAACCTGGTCTATTTAATGTCAGCTTTTATTTCAAGGCTACAGGGTAAATCTTACCACGGCATGAAAGGACAAAGGGATTAAAAACTGATATAAAAACAATACAAGTTAACTGCTGTTCCATTTGAGAGTGGGAAGCCGTCTGAATAGACTAGGATTTTATCCCAGATAGACAGAGACTTAGTTATCTCTTTATGAATTGTAGCAGAAATCCATAATATGAGTGATAAGAATGAAATGTATATTACAAGACATATCCAAGAAGCTAACATTGCAACCATATACATATAAACAGCAATTCCATAACTATATAACATGCATGATGCTGCAAGTACCACAGACCTCTTAAGACTTCTAATGCTTTGAGTTAGTCTGTACAGGACTAAATTAGAAAAAATTTGGACCCTTCCCTAAGCAAGAAAGACTTGGCCCAGAACAGATGACTCAAGATATTAATGTTGTTGCTGGCGTACAACAGCTATATTTTCTCTCTCACGATTGCAATAGTGTACTTCCAATACACAGACCACTCTGGTAAGTCTTTCACTCCTACCTACCAGTTCTGAGCTTCACAGACAGAGTTTCTTAGCAGGTATATCTGCATGGACATTTTTCCAAAGAAATCTTATTTCTCGCCATTATATTCTGCTTGTTTATTGCAAAAGTCATTACAGTGCTGATTGACAACTATTATGTAGTGTTTCTATGCAACAGAAGGTCTTGAATTCTGACCAGGGCTCACCAAAAACATACTCATAAGAGGTGTACTCAAAAAAAAAAAAAAACAGAAAGTCATTTTGCAAAATAGCTGTCAAAACATTAACATTCAAGAGCTATGTCAGAACCACTAGTATTCCAATACTCCACTAATACTCCATTTTAAAAATTTTACTTCAGTGGTGTATTATTAAAGCTGCCTATCTCTTTTCCCCCTGATAGTTTCCAAGGAAGTCGAGTCTGACATTATACATATGCTCAGTGACATCATCTGCACTGAGTAAAACGTGAAAGATGTCTGACAGAGATTCTCATGATCTTTCAAAATGGTTCTAAGAGTACAGATAAAAATATCAAAAAGCCTGTAAGAATGTAGTCTTAGAATGTTTTACTATACTTAATAAGCCATTAATTTATCACTTCCTATGAGAGATGTAAAAGTTTTGTTATGAAATAACACCCAGGAACGCTGCTCAATCCACGGCAGCACCTAAACACAAAGCACTAAAACTTGATACTCTCTCCTAAATAAGGTTTAGGGTACAAAGCACTGAACACAGTTATAACAGTAAAAACCTGCTTGCTCTTAACAAACCAAGTGTTAAATAGTAAACAAAATACGTAACGCCAAGAAAACATGAAAATTTTGTATCAAGCTTACATATACACACAATTCTCACAAGTAAAAATAAAACCAGTTGTTTGCAGATTATGAAGCGAGAGGGAAGAGTAGCCATTACCTCTTGGTTATCTTTGTTCTGGTTTGCCCAGAAAATCTTGTGATAAAGCGTCTCCATTGAGTTACTGGAATCCGATCTGTCAAAACAGTGTCGATCCAACACTTCTAAGGTGTGTAAAACTCTGCTGATGGTCACCCCTAGATATGGGGGTGAGGGGGGAAAAAAGGTTACACAGGAGGACAGCATAGGATTTCAGGTATTACTGGCTGCTGTGAGTACCAGCAGCAGGACAGCAGCTGAGCACGCATGGGTCAGCAGAAGCACTGATGCTCCCTTTGGAGAGATGGGACACCTTTACCCAGAGGCTACAGTGGAGGGCTCACTCTCAGCTGCTAGTAGATTTAGCTGTAATCATTTCCAGTGCTACCATTCTCTAGTAGAGGAATGAGCTGACACACAGGATCAGTAACTGTTTAAATCACAACAGCCAATTCTGCCACAGAGAGCAAGTCTGAGCCACGATACCAAATTAAAATTCAGTTGCCCTGAAAAACATTTGAGAGAATGATCAGCAGTAACTTCAGGCTGAGAGATTTCCCCATTCCTATGAAAAGTGTGGTTAGTAACGTTTACTGATCAACAGATGAGCAGGTTAAAGAACATACACACACAATACACGCCATTCTGAGAATGGTTTTATAACACAAAAGGGTTTCCAGGCACAGAATGATCAGAAGCAGCCAGCAGCCTAAAAGCCCATACAAGTCTTCATTTGATGTTTACTTCACTGTTAGGTGGTTGTTCATACTTCCCATAGCCTGACTTCTAGAGAGTATGGAGAAAAAAGCCCAAGTACAAACGCCACAAAGTGACTCCCTATTTTCTAATTTCGTATGTTTTATACACAAATTTCCAGCAAGAATCTCTGCCCTACCAAACACTACCTAAGCTCCAAACAAGTTATTTCATACACATTTCTCAGCTGAATACCCAGTTAGGTCCAGGAGCTGGAAGTATCCAAGACCAAACCTGGATCCTTAGTCTCTACCCAACACTTCCATGTTAATGCTCAGTCATCAGTTCAATAAAAAGAGGGGGGAAATGCTGACTGGCGTTTACATTGCATCTATCTGTCATAACTATTACTAGAATTAGTCACAGTGCACCAGGATTACACTCAAAGAAAAAGAACAGATTTAAACGATAGGGCACCCAACATTGTTTCATGTTTCACTTGCCTTACCTGCAGTTGATTCTTGGCACTTGTCAAAAGACCACCGCACCTCCACAGCACGACCTCTTTGTTTTATCTGCTGTTCCACTTCATAAATCTTTGCCCGAACCTGCAAAAATGATTGTTGCTAATGAGCTAGTGGTGGGAAGTCACAATTCTCATTTCAAGCTTATGTCAGATTTCTCAGCAGGAGCAAGGCACCCTATAGTGTTCCACAATATTTCCTACATTCAGAAACAGCAAACTAAAGTATCCTCTGTTCAAATGCTTTTGTCTGTTAAATATAATCTTGTACAATAAAACATCTTTTCCATCTGATCCTGACATTCAACTCAGCAAAAATTAACTTTCACTGTGTCTGAAAAGTCACATTTCACAATACAGTAAAACAAGCTGCTGCTCATTCGCTATTTTACATCTTAAGATAATTTCAGTTTAATAACTGAAAACATCTGAATAGCAAATTAAATTTCTGATATTCTGACAAAACCAGTACACGAATGAAGTACAAACTAAGCTTATCAAAAGCTAGCACATTACTAGTCTAGAACTATAGAAACATCTGAAGTTAGCTGTACTCCTAATGACCACAAAAATCACTTTCTGGGGATATAGAACAGATCCCTGCAATTTGACAATGGAAAAAGTATACCTGCTGATTAAATGCTGAATTTCCACCTGGCATAGGTAAACTAGATGGAGCCACTTGAAGTAAATCCAGAGGCGAGCCTGGATTAATGTTCTTATTTTCATTTGTGGAATAATTCCACACCAAGGCACTTGGGCAACAAAGAGTTACAGTCTGCAAGCAATAGCATAAAACACTTAGAATAAATTTCTTTTGATAAACACATGTGACAGATAAGACCAACAATACCAACAATAAGAGAGTTCATGAGACTCGAATTGCTTTGTCTAACGACTACAGTGAAGAGAACAAGACAGGCCAGTGCACAACTACTTAAAAACATCCATTTGCAGAAATTCAGTTATTTTCCTTCTTCACTAGTAAATTAAAAATTGCATTTAAATATATATACATACATACACACACACACACATGCACACACTCAGTTCACATTTGTATTGCTTTGATAGTGCTGTCAAAGAACAACAAAGGTTAATTTTAATCAGATTGCGTGAAACATGAACGCACTTTAGAAAAAAAGTAACTGGTGTTCAGCTCACAAAGAAGTTACATATGAAAAATTAAAACTTAATATATTAACTCTATCAAGATTTTAAAGCACAAGAGTCATTGGAATGCAACAGGAACTTGTCATTTCTTTTGAAGTAAATCTTAAGTTTCTACATTGACAGGCTTCAAAACAGTAATTTTACAATGGCTTATGAGCAGATACCTACTACGCTGCAGCATCTGGCACCGTCCAGAGCAAAAGAAGAATGCTTTAGTATTTTGGGGTCAGATCTTAAATCCCATCTAAAATGACAGCAGCAGATTCACCTTATGTGTGCTTCTTTTTGAGACTCCTGGATTACTTATTGGGAAGTTCTCCAGATCCAGGTCTGGATTCCAAAGCAGTAGCTTAACAAAAGCATTGCCAACAGAGATGCTCCTATGAAAAGCCTAAGAGTTTGTCTAGATCAGGGCTGTCTCTGGACCAAGAGGACAAAAAAGAACAAAAAACAAAACCAACTCCCCCACCAAATAGTATAGGTACAGCAGAAAGACCAGTTGCTGTGCTGTTAGTACAGAAAAAGCTGTAAAGCTGCCAGAGAGCGTACAAGCACACACCATGGAGACAAATGCTGAAGTTCCTATGACAAATCATTGCTCAAGAGGAAAAAAAGTTACAGCATGCTTACAGCAAGACAGGATCTGACCTGCTGCAGCCACGCACCCTCAGAGGGAGGGACACTGATATTCTCCCACTTACTGTCTTCAGTTAGCGCCAATGAGTCTCTCTTGCCTTTTTTTTTTTGTTTGTTTGTTTGTTTGAGTTTGTACGCACTAGCCTGCCTCTGGGCTCTAAACTCAACTCCCCTCTTTGCTACCACTGTGAGCAAGCGGCAGCCCCGTGAGATGGAGCTGCACATCATCAGCATGCTCTTGGTACCATAACCAGGACATCTCCGCACAGCCCCTGGAGACATACAACTGAACGGACACAACAGCAGCAGGGCTTGAGGCAGTCTCCCCTGGTCAGCACTCAGGAAGGCAAACAGCAGCAGCTTGTTATGCAATTCTGTTTCAGAGCATTATTCTCTTGACAATCCTGCTATTGCCAAGCAGTTTCTTGTAGTCACACAGTTTTAAAAACTGTAAAAGTTGACAAGGCAATATAAACTGCTTCCTGCTTTCACAGAACCAAAACAAGACGTCTGCAATGGTACCAAGAGTCTGTGACAAGCTGGAAGGAGGATGGACATCCTCAAGGGTGGTAGGAGGAGTCAGTACAGTGCTGCCTTCTGCTCAACGGCACTCAAAGACAGCCAGGGTCTGGCAGAAAGGAGCAGGTTCACCAGTGATGAACACATACTGCACAGAGCATTACTATAACCAGAAACACTGTCACAAGGGAGAGTTTGATCTCTCCAGCCAGCAGAGAGATTCTCCCCCATGGAAGAGATGCAGACAGATAAGGAGCTTCTCAATGGGGTTTCAACACTGCATCTCAGTCAATGCAGAGAATCCACCTTCATGCTCTTTCCAGACCCACCAGTAGCACACCTTGCCAGAAAACACTATTTTCAGATATATTGAAAGGTGATAGCCTTGACAAGGATCAATAAAACACTGGCCTACCTGCAGCATACAACTAAGTCCATAAACCAGCGGACGATGTTGTGGGCAGGAGAGGAAATCTGAACAGGCTAGCTGTACCGGGCTCACCACAGGACCAGGTGCAGTCGGACTTGGGGCTGCTAAAGGAGGGTTGTTTGGTCCAATAATCATATGAGGAGAATGTGCAGCTACAAGGTTAGGACCATCGCCTAGCAGTAAAGATAGGCGTCTGGCACAGAAATAAGCAAGGCGACGGGACAGATAAGCTGACTGAACAAATTCCTCCGAGTACTGAAAAAAAAAAAAAAAAAGAAACAGTTTACTAGGCAGTCTTTTCCCCATATTCTTTTTCATTAACAACCTAACGTTGGACATGCGTCCCATAGAAAGGGATCACCTAAGCTAAGGTCTCAGAAGCTGAAAAAGAAAAGAGCAGCTCAAAAGCAAGTTTATACTTTTGTCTTAAAAAGTTTCATCTGTCCTGCAGGATCCGTTATAGAAAAAGAATCTTCCTACCAATTCAAAGTAAGAAGGATTGTAAAGCAGGAAATTGTGTTTACATAGTCTAAACACACGCCATGCAGTATATTTCCGCAAATGCCATAAGTAAAAATGTTGATGTATAAACAGATTTTATCACGACAAATATTAGAAACATTCAAAAATTAAGATATAAAAATCAGTCTGATTTATATAAGTCACCCGGCTTTAATACATGCTTTGTACCTGTAGCATTAGTGGCAACAACAGCTTAAGGAGATCGTCATCTGTAGGTCTGATTTTTTCCAAAACATCCAGTATCCATGTCAAATACTCATGTCTCTCAAGCATTCCTTCCTTAAAGGATTTAAGATAACGCATCAAGTATTAACAGGAAGCACTAAATGGGTCTGCTCAAGCTCAAGTGATCTTGCTCAGTGTGTATCAGGACTTCTGCTCCCACTAAGCCACATGTTCTCAGCTGACGGCCTGTGAGGCTGGGGACCCCCGGGCACCTCAGCTCCTCTGCCTGTCCAGACCGCTGATGCTGGACTGCAAAGGCGGCCAGGAGCCAGACCAGCGTGGAACTGAACAGCCTGTCACCACTTCAACATCCACGGCTCAATGCGCCACAGTAACCTCATCCTGACCCACAGTAATTAAAAATCACCTCTGAAAGATGGGATAATGCAGGAAGAGCCAGAAGAACCAGGTACATTGCTGCAATCACAATCAAGCACATTAAGCAAATCAAAGCTTCCTTCAGCTTGTGAATCTTTAACATGAATTAGCATCTACAATTTGTGCAAGCCCTATGACAAACGTTACCCGTAAGTTCTAAAACTGAACTTTCCAAGTACAGTAATCTCAAAAAACCCATGCATTCCTTAAAGTATTACCTGAAACATATAAAATGACAGTTTTTCATTATATTCCCACTGCTTCAGGGCTTGTTCCATCTCCTGAGGCATCACTACAGAGCTGTTGCCTTGGCCAAAAGTTGCATGATAAAACTCCGCAACCTTTGCCAGTTGCTCTCGAAGGTATCTGGTAATAATTTGCGTCCATTCTACAAAATAAGTTTACAATTAGAACGCTTCAGGTGATAACAGATTTCTTTCGCTGTCAGAATTAAAACAAATGTACATTGCCTTGGTAGTCAAAGTATTTCTCCAAAACGTTAACCAACAGTCTCATAATGCAAAAACCTTTTGCAAATAAATAGGCTTTTTGTGTGCCTCTCCTGGTCACCATTCTCCAAGCACTGTCAATTATGTAAGTAGTCTGCTAGCTTAGGGTTAATTCTGTCTGTTATGTAAAAAGTATGCCTTTAGGCGTACCAGCCATGTCTTCAGGGAAATCACCTGTCTCTTTCATCAGCATTCAGCCAAAAAACAGCTTTGAAATAGACGCTAGTAATTGCAGGATACTTATTTTATCTATCTGGAGCTTTATTTCCTTCTTCCTCCCCGCTCCAAATATAGGGAAAATAAAACTCAGAATTTTGTACAAGTCATGGGGTATAAAACCGTTCTTGAAAATGATCAACTCCTCCAGATTTTCACTCTGACAAGAATGCAAAGGTTCAGGAGCAGTTTTTTTAGGTCAGACTGACCAGCATAGCACAGAGGTTTACAAGTAAAAGTGATCATCTTTTAATCACAGATGAGTCAGAAGGTGCTGTTCACCAAATACAAGAACCTACCAAAAATAAATCATATCTCCTCTCTGCTTCAGCAGTGATTCTATATTTAGCAAAACCTGGAGAAATTAGCGAACCAAAGTAAGTCTGCTTGCTCATCTTTGCATTTCTGAAAGTCAGGAATTCAAATAATGAACATCACAACTAGAAGAACTACCAGCAGATCAACACTTTCGGTCAGATTTAACCAGCCTCAGCACTAATCAGCTCGGGTAGTTCTCCCGTTAAGCGCTTGCATGCTCTCCAGCCACCTCTGCTCATAGCCACCTGAGAACCACAGTCCTTCACCCCTAGAGTCACACTCACCCAAGAGACAGTCTTGGTCTGTACACAGTGAAAAGGTGCTATCCAATGGCTACAAAACACACTTAGTTTCTCATCTCTCCAAATTCTGATGCAATAGAAAAAGACACTTAGCTCAAAAAAGCTTTAAGGGCATCATAACCACGTAAAGACATTCCTCTACCCTCACTTGTTAAACCTATGAATGACCCTCTTTCCGTAGGAACCCTGAGATGTGCTCTGATAAAAAGAATATCCCATTAATCCATTTGGTGTGCCTCCAGAAAACACTGCTTTGTAATAAAATGGCTAGGATTGTACCAAGCATACTTTGGGATGCACAAACATGCCCCTCAAACAGCACGTTTATTTCAAAACGCACAACACTCATGGTCTTGAGGATCGTCTAGGATGATAGCAACAAAGGCAACTGAAGAGTAAGACACTGCTACGTTTCAGCTGCTGATAGCAGGAGCTTCTGCAAGAGGTCAGGCCATTTTCATCTAAAGACAAGGAAGCAACATGAAGAGAGGACAGAGGCATCCATACTTATTCTTTCACCTGCAAGAAAAATCAAGGGTAAAATTCTGAACCATCACCAGCAAATAGTTTAAAAATTAAGAAAATGAGGATTTGCATACAACTGTCAGGTCCTGTATGAAGTTTTCACATGATGCTCTTCCTGTGCAATACATTCAGAAATGCTGCTACAGAGCCAACATTTGAAAAAGGCAGCGGGTTAGAGAATAAGGCAAAAAGAATCAAGTGTCACAGCTACTGAACAGGAAGAAAATATGTATACGTGGGTGTGGCAGGAATAAATCAAGTAGCTACTCCTTTCAGCATCTCCCCTAGAAGGAGAAACGGCAGAAGCAAAACTTCTGCCATATTGCCTAAGGCCACAAAAATATGAGGAAAATTCTGTTTTCTGCTTGGTTCGGCACATGACCTCCCAGTTTCCGAGCATTAGAATCATGCTGACCAGAACCGGCAGGTTTCCCCAAGCTCAGTATCTATGGATCAAATCATGGCTCTGATTGCAACCTCTTTCTGAAAAAGATTGTGTATGTATATAAATTTATATAAATATGTATATGTGGACATTCTTTTGTGGTCTGGCTTAAACCACATCTAACTACTCCAGTGATATTTTTAAACACTTTATTATACCTACACTCTTGGGTCATCTTATTTTCAGGAAGCTTTCTGGGACTACAAATTACCCATATCTCCACACTGCAAATGCAAAGCTTGTGTAAAGCGATTCCAGCTGAAGTGACCTAATCCTTCGCGGATTATTTTCAATCTGAAATTGAGCGTGAGGGAAATCAACGCAGTGAACTGCAGAGCAGCACAGTCAGAGCAGCACCACTGAATACAGCTGTAATCACCATTTACGCTGCAGAGACATGAATATGATGGGAGGGCGGCGCACCTCCACTGCAAGACAAAGCCTTCTCCCCCAGCGCTTTGCACCACAGGTGTACTTCCTGGGACAAAGAGCAGCAGCCTCAGGCGTGCATTAGCCAGCCTGCTTCTCGACAGGCTTTCCTCCAGGCAGCACACGTCAAAGGTAGCACGGCTCAGAGCTGACTTAATGGGAGACGATTATCTAGAGGGAGCTTTGGGAAAGGAGGAATTGCAAGGAGAGCATTCTCTTAACAGTATAACTGGAACAACCGAGAATATTTGCTAATATCTCACAAGAGATAAGCATCTGTCAGAACTGTGTTTAATCAGCACGCAGCACATTTTAGAAGAGCACGTTCTTTTATGAATACATAACGCAACTGCTTTGACAACCTAAGCCTGTTCACTGTCGGAGCTACAGGGACTACCTCTCAAACACAACTATTTTCATTGCTTGCTACCCACCCCAGATTTAAGCTAGTTTGTTCATTCTTTTTTCTCCCCACTGAATTTGTGACGGGTAGTTCTGTCAACACGTACAGAATATACGTGGAATGCTTTTCATTCCAAATCCCCTGACATTTCTGTATGAAGCTAAGGGTTTTGGCGCTTTCATATAGCTGTTTGACTACATTACATAAACATTTACTTCAACATTCACTCAGTTTTGCAGAAACAACTGCAAATCCACTACCTCACATCTTGTTCACGTCACACTATGAAAGAATAATTTTCTCAAAGTAATTACCAATATTGCTGTGCAAGTGAGCTAGAAACCACGGAAAATGAACGATTCTCAATACGTAGGGCCCAGAGCAGAAACATTACTGAGTAGCCTTCGGCAGTTCTCAAAACGTGCAGCAAATTACTTCTCAAAAAACTCCAAATAACTTTTGCAAAATAGGAAGTTTGGACAGACAGTATAACCTTCAGCATTACATTTGGCAGACTCAGAAACCTACTTCAAAGTTCTCAGCGACAAAAGTCACGGGCACCTTGACCCCCACGTACTCTTACCGGCTTTGTTCGTTTTCGTTCCGAAGCAGAGGTCAAAAGCAGACGTGAGCAGGGCTACCCACCTGCTTCCCCTACACACATCATCACCTCTCACCTTCCCAGTAAACATAATCTACTCTTATTTTAAAGAGCTACTACTCCTAGCCAGGGTGCACTAGATCTAGACCAACTTATCAGGAAAGACAAGTTGCTGCAAAGACCCCAATTCTTGCAGTTTTATGCAAGAAAAAGAGAGGGGAAAAAAGAGGGCCGGTTTCGGCATCCGTTAGTACAAGGGATGAGTTGAGCTAAAGACAGAACGGGAAGTTGAGAGGAAAAAAAAAAAAGAGCAAGCCATCCAGTCCTAAGGAGTTACAGAACTGCTCAATTGAGATGGAGTTTCTCCTACACCGGGAAAAAGAGTAGAGACCTATGCTAACATCCCACCAAAACAGCACTGACCTCACTACAGCTAAGCTAATCAGAGCATGGCCTCCTAGATTTAATATGAGAATGGAGGCATCAATCTGACTTGATATTCTGGGCAGCTGTTGTTTCTTTTCCTCACCGCCAAACCTCTCTGCCTTCCCCTCGCACTCTGTCACCTGCCACCGGCAGGACACCTTCTTATTTTAGTCACTGCCGTTTGAGCACACTGCAGAACATCAAATCCTAATATCCTCGCTGAGCCCAGCACACGCAATCCAAACATTTCCAGATGTCAAACCCAAGGTTAGAAGATCTCGGCACACACCCTTCTCTAACATTTATTACAGTATCTCAAGGAATGTTCACCTTAACAGGTTCACCATATCACCGATAAAATCACAAAACACAAAGAGCCATACCTCGAAATAATTTTGACAGGGTTCTTAAAAAAGATAACATAGGATAACACGGCATGGTTGGCAACCGAGTTGAATCAATTTCCCTATCCTGATGCCACTGTCCCAAAGCTTGTTCTTGAAAATAAGATGGAAAACCCAGGCCTGTCAAACCCATAAGAGATCAGACTAAATTCTTACCTCGTTTGTTTCACAGACACAAATATGTGCTTTGCTCCCCACACCTACCCATTACTATAGACAGTGCTATTCCAGCTGACCTGCTTTTCTTTCATGACTGCCTTCATACCAGGACTTCCAAATGAGGATTATTAACTGGAAGTCATGCCAGTGCAGCTCATCCTATTGCTCCGAGGACACACGGCTAACATGCTGCCTACTGACATCAGCAATAAGAGGCACAGAGGTACTACGAGGTCAAAAGTTACACAATTGTTTAAACTAAGCTCACACTCTGCCATCTAATCTAAAAAATCTAAAATAACTGTTAAATCCGAAAAAGATTCAGACTCTCATCCTCACCATGACAACTCATGTTGTAATAAAAAGATCAGAGCATTTAGTTCACTCTGTAGGCAAACCACCACATGCTGCAAAACCCCTTAAAAACCTTAGTGTAACTAAGAGCTTTGTATCATTTTCCAAGTACAAGTCAGGTTTTAAAACCTAAGAAAATCTGCAAGAAATTTCCAAGTGAATTCAGGTGACAGATACAAGGACCTCCATTTTCCTTGACAAAACATCCAGCCAGTGGCACGTCAGTCCAGCTCTGAGAAGTCCTGCAGTTTCATCAGCCTCCACCCAAACCCTCTGTGATGTGGAGCTAGTTCTTAGACTGGAGCTGAGGGGCAATTTGATGGTGTACACCTACCCTCTAGCTGTATCCAGCACTTGCTGTGTTCAGCAGAGAGTCGGATAAAATTAAGGCTCTCGAAGGAAACGTGGGCTGGCAGAATATTCTGATAATTACTTTTAACTCAAATATTTATGATCCCTCAGCAGGCAGTCCTCCAAAGACGCGATTTTCAGTCAAACAAGATATGCATGCAAATTCAAGACTCATCTCATCCCACACGCACTTCAGCCTTGCTGTCAGCTACAATGGGTTAACATAAAAGATCGCTCTCTAGAGCGGGGTTACCAGGGACACTTCTCAGTGTTGAGTGTTTACTAAAAAAATTACAGTCTGATTCCCCCTCCCAGGAGATACTCAGAGAGAACAATGACTGAGCTAAAGAAAACATGTTTATGCAACAAACAAGACTTATCAACATGATGTTAAAGAAGTTGTACTAGTGAACAACAGCTAGAATAAATAAGCATATATCAGTCGGTTACACTGGTCATAAAGCATCAGCAGCAGAGCCTCATTGCACAATGCCTTCGGTGCCCTGGCCAGCACAGCGCCCGGGCCTCCCAAGCTGTGATCCTGCAGCCCTCTTGCCCCAGCTCTGCGCCCTCCCACGCGGGCCACCCTGGCAGGGTTCCCACCGCTGCTCCCATGCTGCTACCGCCTGCCCTGGCACCTGCACCTCAACACTGCTTTCTCACAGGTTCAGGTGGGGGGCCACTGCCACCACTGCGAGACTCACCCCTTCTTTTCCCAACTTCTCCTACACCTGGTTTTGTAGTTTTAGTTTTATAAACAAGTTGTAAACACAAGATTTTTTCTATAACAGTACAGACAATTGTCACTCAAATACCCAGTAAGTATTACTCAATCACAAGCCTGTACAAAGCTTAACGACCAGTCAGCATGCAACACATGCCTGATTAAGCACCCTCCAACCAACCAACAGTATCACAGCCAAGAGCAACCACCAGGGAGTTTGGAGGGCTCCCAGTGAGAAGTGCATAGGACTAGAAAAAATTATGGCGGAAATCATCTTTATCCACACCCATCACCACCTTTGCACTGGGAAAAACACTCATCAGAGACCTGTTGCTGCTCTGCTGGGTGGCCACAGGAGAGAAGTCTCCCTTTCCCCTTCCTCTCTCTTCTCCCTTTAGGGTTACCCCAGGGAAGAAAACAAAGCTGATGTCTGCCATCAGCTACAGACCCACAAATAAAGCTTTGTACTTTGCACCGTCTCCCCTGCATCCCCTGTGCAAAAGCCTTTGTAATGCCAAAATACCATGGGGTATATATATGCCACACATGTAACAGACAAAATACTGAATTACAAAAACGCAATTGTTGTATTCTATATCCTGCCTGCAAAGCTGAACTCTCATTACCACCAGGCTGGTGCACAGCTACTGAAAGTCTAACAAAAAATAGCTTTCATCCTCTTCAGTTTAAGAGTTGCACTAAGCAGGCAGCCTAGACACAGCAGACAGCTACATGAAAACAAAGAGTATTTTATCTTGGCAAAAATGAAAATATCCTAAGAACAGAGGCAAGAGTGACCGTAAGAGTTGCCTGTGCACTAAGCACAGCAGAAGTGCTACCACCCACCACATGAATTGTTATGGCCTTTGCAGGAGAGGGAACAGCCAGCTGAGGATTCATGCAATTGAGTACTCAACCACTCTAAAACATGCACGGGGCTGAAGTAAAGCTACACAAGCAAACAGGCAATTCTCTTTTGTACATTGTAATTTTTAAAAATAATTTGAAAACTATAATCAAGGAACAAACATTACATTTTTGCTAGAAAATGCAAAATACACTTTTGGGGCCTTAGTTTGGAGCTCAAAGTGAAAATGAGTGTTGCAAGCCTACAAATAAAAAAACAAAGCAAGTTTTGAAAAAAACAACAGAATAGGTGGACTGGAACAAGCAGAAGTTTAGCAACATCTCTGTACCACTGTGAGAAACAGTAGTGAAATTGTCTGTTCTAAGCAAAGTTATCTTGAGGCCCAAACAAGCAAAAAATTAATTCCAGATAATTGAAGAAGTGTATATAGTGTATGTAAATTGTGAGACTAAAACCACAACTCTGGTAACAGTTACAGTACTTTCAGTCCTTTAGAGGTGTTCATTGCTTGGCCTGCTTGCTTCGTGCCAGAAAGAATCATTTAACACTAGTACTTAAAATAAACACATTGCCACCTATGTTCAAATAAATACGCTTGAAATTCACATTTCATTTCAAGCTTTCCATCTTAGCAGTTCAGTTCACTCCCGGGTAACACTTATCTTAGCATACTGTTTGCCACTCCTGCCAACCCCACAGAGACGGGTGTTGGTGTCTAAGACACAGCAAAGTCAGCTCCTCAGATACAGCACCTGGAGATTTAGGGAGGAATCAGCTGGGAGGAGAACAGGTTCAACACGGCAGTATTTGTACTGCCTGGCTCTTAGAAACGTATGTCAAAGAGTACAAAGATAAACAGATTAAAACATTTTCTTCCCCCTTCCCACTACAAAGACTCCTCGCTGGACACTTCAAAACATGAAAGCCATGAATGAATGCAGCAGACCCCTTCAGCTGTTTCTGTGCGTTTAGACATTTGAGCTATTTACCGATATTTGGATCGGTAGCCTGGCGTTTCTTGATTTTAGCTTCAGAAATAGCAGCGTAGTAGGCACATGTCATCTTGATCAGCCATGCTGCTCGTAGCAGCGGCACAGAATATTTTGCTAAGTAAGCAAAAACATCTTCTTTTTTACTGAGAATAGGAACCTGAAACAAAAGAGGAAGCAAGTTAGAGCGCACAGTGCCAACAGCACCTGACACCTGTAGGTTGCCTCCGGCTCCTTTGCTCAGTTCTTAACTACCTGGGCAGTGGCAGACCTCTCCATCAACACAGGAAACCACTACACCGACAACTCCCTACTGTCTATGCGTGTAAAAATACAGACAGACTTGACAAAACAGAGACATCACCCCATACTTCCCCCTCATTACACCAGGATCCCCAGCTCGGATGCCTACATAGCCACTCGCAAACCTCTTGATAGAGCCAAACACATCCAAGTGCAGAAAGCATCCTGCAGGCTGATCCCCAGAACCTCTGGAAAAGCACAATGTGTCGAGGTCTGGGTTAAGGGTTCAATGACACAGATCCTGTAGGTTTTCTTGGTGCCCCAGGTTCACAAGTGTCCTTAATGCCTGGAGCACTCAGGCAGTTTCAGGCTGGCCAGATAACACTGCCGGCACAGCTGTGATCATCCCTCCACAGCATATTTGACCTCTCTAACAGCCTGGAGATGAGGTTTCCATCATTGAAACCAGCAATGAAGAGAGCAGCAAACAAGGCACTGACAGGATCTCTTTTCTGTAACATTCCTCAGTGGTCAGTTTAGAGGCCCCACGGTACAAGTTTTACACTGCTCTTAACATGCTTATGTACTGTCATCAGCAGTTCCATAAGCCCAGCTATTTTTTTAAAAGTATAAATAATCAAAGAAATCCCTCCAGTGCTCTATTTATAAAGTCAGCCTTTAAGAAAGTCAGGGAAAGCTTTAGCTGGTGACATGTTAGCCAAAGCAAAGACTGTTTAATCAGTGTTGCAGGTGGCTCCACTGGTGGCAAAACAGTGGATGCTCTTCACTGATTGCAGGGCCACAGACCAAAACTGGTGAAACTTGTACCTTCTGTTATTTTGGCCCAAGACCATTTGTAGTCACTAGTTTTGGAACAAAAGTTCCCTGTTTAAGTTTAATTCGTACACACAGTAACTCACAGATCACTGGAAGATGAGCTGCTCATGCAAAGCTTCAGGAAGGAAAGGCATGCATTGCAGCAGCTTTGTTACTGTGTTCTAGACTCCTCCTTGGATGAATTTTAATGACCACATGAACTTTTATCTTGTACTGCTATTCTTAACTGATAGCATGCAGTACCTCAAAAGTTAGTTCAAAATGGACTTTTCCAGTTATATAAAGACTGCCACAAAACAGCATGAATTCATCTCCTTAACTGGAAATTTAAACCAGAAGGTGAGTAGTAAGAGTGTTTATTAAAGACTATTAACAATAGATATCAAAGTCAAACAGATTTAAATGTGAAGAATACGCAAGGGGTTGGAGTTAACGTGTTGGTTCTCTTGAGAATGCATCAGCTTCCAACTATTTCCTAGTCAGATATGGACATTTCTGTGAAATAGAACATTTGTTTGTGAAAGAGACCCTTGAAGTGAAGTGTGCAGGCAGAGGATCTGGCTATCTGTAAGTTAAATGCACCTAAGCTGAAATACATCTGTTTAAGAGACCCTTTTACCACTCAACTCCACTTTGCGCAGGTAGCACCCTTGCGGACAGACAATGTGCTGGGTGGCAGCCACTGCCTCCAGCACCATCCACCTCCAGCACAAGAAAGGGAACAGCTAAGAAGGGACTGCAGCAGGTCCCAGCTCCACAGTGCCTCGTGCAGGAGGCAGCGTTAGCTGCCTGGGCATCCCTCCTCAGCGTCAGCAGGCTACAGCTTTCACAGGGCTTAGGCCTTTGGGGTTGAGGGAGGAAGAGGCATTGTTGGTTGCTTTTTTTAAGCCCAAACCAACTCTAAAAATCGCTTACACCTCACCACCAGTATAAGCACATGTATTTAGGATCCCCAGGTTCAGATTAAATTTCTGAATCTAACCTTTTATGAGGAATGGCAGAACGCGAGGACAAGAAATACAGTCTTAAGAGGTTAATGCTGTTCTTTTTAAAGTTAATGACAAAATCTCATTATTTCACAGGAGGTCTAATTGAAGTCTTATAAGTTAACCATTATCCTAACCTCAGTGAAAAGGTGCATTCCCAACAGCCACATTTCATTTATATGTAGTTGTTTGGTTTCTATCTGTATATCTATCATACCACTTTTGATTTTCAAGAAGCTACTTTGAGCACTAACATTTTATATTTATATATATCTTTTATATATATATATATAATGTATATGCATGCTTTATGTAAGCATTTATACTTTTTAACAGATATAGTTAAGCTCTAGCCATTTAACTTGATATTCATGAATATTGCCCTACTCTTAGCCCAATCCAGTACAATCCAAAACCCAAGAAAGAGGAGGAGTGTTTTTATACCTTTTTTGCTAAAATGGTCAGTGGTTTATTTCCAGCTAAATCTGTGAACCAGTTGTGAATTGCACTCTGAGACCGAGCAGTAACCAGCCAGTAGTTGTCTTTGGCAGTTTCTTGTGGCTTCTTCTTTCCTGTGTCCTGGAAAGTGTTAAGTTTTAGCTTTTCCGCTAATATGCTGCTAAAGTAAGCGCCAATCTGGTGGAAAAAGCAAAACACATATGACAACCCAGTAAGCAATCATCTATTGTACATTAATCCACAAAGGATTTCCATCTGAATAGATGTAGTCATCGCTCTCGTCGAGGCTACCGGTTTAATAAGATTAATTCTCTGTAGCCAAAAGATAGAGATTTCTGAAGCTAAGCATCAGTGCAACATTACTGCATTATCACTACAGAAGCTGCAGGTCAGCAAAACCAACCCAAAGTGAAGAGCAGGCCTCAGAGACAGCAGAGATGCACTTACTTACAGTGATTTCAGCGCAAGTCCCCAGAGTCCCATTGCTCCAGTAGACAAGTCTCTCAGGTTTAGGCCCCCATTCAGTATAATCCAGGAGTAGCTTGGAACATTTCTCTTTCAATGTTTTATCATATCATCAAGTGCATATACACATTTTTCACTTCTGTTTAGACCCCAACTACACTGTCCCAAGAACTGCATGCATTGCCTTTCCACCAACAGTTACAGCAGGCACAACTTCAAAGTTCTGGATAAGCAAATAGTGCTTTGATTCCACTGAAAGCACTTATGCTACTACTTGATATCTTCAGAAAAATGTTGTAAGATTTGCTTCCCCAGCACTTTCAATCCCAAAACAGCAGAAGAGAGCCTAATATAAGTTTTATTTATATATCAAAATTACTAAAGCATAAATTACTTTTTAGGCCTGTCAGTAAGAATAAAATGGCTGATTTTCTAATTAAAATATGCATAGTTGGCTAATTTTAAAATTCATCAAACGTTAAGAGATACTGAACTTACTTTGATAATTCTACACTTAAATCGTTGAAATAACTATAAGCACTTCCTTGTCATTATTTTATAACTTGTCATTTTCAAATAGTTATGCTCTTTTTCACTGTACAATAATAGTCAAAACAAAGTAATTAAAACATAAGCAAGAAAATGTCAGCAGGTGATAGTTCTGGAAAGCAAAAATCAGAAGAATGCAACAGAAAAGCTTTTAACATTTCAACAACAGTAACTGTATCATTAACTTGTACATCTCATTCTCATTTCAGATTTATGCTTTGCTAAAATAGAAAACATCACTGAAAATGAATTCACATTTTTCCAATAAGTCATAAAAAGTTATACATTCAAAAAGTTAAACAATAGATTACTTCATCTAAAAAAGTTTTGATAAATTTCTTTCTCTCCCAAAACTGTTTCTTCCTATTTTCCCAAAAGAAAAAAAAAAAAAAAAGACAGAAGAAGAATCTAAGTAGATCCCTCAAATAATTTTTCTTCCCTTCAACAGCTATAGTTTTCAATTTGGAGGATGGTAGCTAATATTTTAGTGACTTCTAGCAGTCTTTTGCATCTTGCACTACTTTGGCTCCCCAAAAAAACCCACAAAAACAAACGAAAAAAACAAACCATACACCACAGGAAAGCCAAGTTTCCCCTAAAAAAAAAAAAATCCAAGAATATATTTCCAATAGAACTGGACAAAGCAGTGACTGGTTTCTCCTAGTAGAAAGCAACCCGATGAAACAGATGCAAGACCAAAGCAAGTTAAAGATCTGTAAACACCAGGGACTTCCAGGAAGTAGTCACTACTGTCTTTGTAGGGGAAGCAAATAAAAGAACAGGAGCAAAAATTAGTCTCTCTTCTAACAGTGAAGTGTGCAAGCTCCATTAAGTTTAGTTCCCAGTATCCATGCTTTCCTCTGAAGCTGGATGGCACTAGCCAGAGATGGGTCAACATTCTTATATTAGTTCTAGAATTAGCTTTAAGAGGAAGACTTACAACTAGAAAGCAAAGCAGCCAACAACAAAGTACAACCGTCTCCACCTCACCAGAAGTTGTCCTCATGGAGAAAAGGAAATTGATACTGATTTGAGTACCCTCAGACTGACAAGTCCTGTCTTACCTTTGAGGCATTAATGACAATGTTTCTAGCAGATCCATGCTCATCTCCAGAGAAAGCAGGTTGATTGCTGAAGCCTTGCTTTACGTTCACCGCAGTAAGTTCATCCTGCAAAGAGTGATTTAAGTGCAAAAAATGAAGTGACAATTTAAGAAGTCACATTACTCTGAGAAACATATTTCTGTTAAAAAAATGTATATTTGTTAGTATGACACCCTGCACTCCTGAACAATCACTGAAACGCTCTGTACATTCACAGGATTTCGGCAAAGGGCAATGAAGTACCCCTCCTCCTCTCCACTGCTAAGGGTGCTCCTCCACCACAGACTTTGAGGCCACGACCCAACAGGGAGGCCAGCGGCAGGCACCCGGGTCTGAGGACGTAGACTTGTCCACGGCCTGAGGGAACTCGTGCCCTACTGGTGGCCTGTGCCCACCCCAACCTTCCTGCTGCTCTCCAGGACTCCCCGGCACGTTGTCTCCTCGAGAGGCCAGTGTGCAGGCAGACCTGCCCAGGGCAGGGACCGCATTTCTGGGTAAACGTGTTCATGTATGTTCTTTTCCCAAAACACACCACATCACAGAGAAAAGGTCGCTCTCATTTCCAGCACCCATCACCAACATTGGCACACGACCACACTTGCAGGACTCATCAGCAGCAGAATAGCAGGAGCACTTTTGAAAGTGAACGGCGTTGATGAAAACAAAGTCTATCCAGATTTTTTGCTGTCCACTAACACACTTTTCACTTTGTTCACAGGGACACAGGGATCTAAGTTTTCCAGCCATTTTTAAACACATGAACTGAGCTCACTGAAACAAACTGCACCACTCTGCTGCAGATGGCCATTGCACATCCTGTGCCCTGTCCCCGCATGGCGAAGGGGACACCGGCAGCCGACGTGGGGAAGAGATGCAATTCCAGATACTACAGCACAGCTGGGCTCACAAGCACATAGTCTCCATGGGAGAAGGTACATTGCACAGAATCCACTTATCTGTGAAACTGAATTAAGAGATAGACATCTATAACCGAGACTGGGAGCTTTTTTTAATACCATCGCTTCATAGCACTGCTTGTACAGGTGCCTGGTCACTGACAGGAGCTAGGGGTACCCTTTTCACATCATGTAACCACTGAAAGCACACAATACAGTAGAAACAAGTATCCTCCAGATTCTTTTTGCAGAACGCATTCCAAGTTATATGCCTCTTCCTAAGGCAAAAAAAGGAAAAGAATAACAAAAAAAAAAAGACAGGCTAAAATAGCATTGAAATAAACATACTTTAAAAAAATCTAGAATTAAGGGGCTATATACCAGCTCGTTAGAGGCCACGCAATTGTGTTAAATATTTACATTCACACCTTCTCTTTCACAAGCTGTAAGACATGCAATTGCTTGGTTCTTTCCCCAACTATTTCTTGTTCCAAGAAGCAGCATGCTTCCTGCAATGATCAGTGGCTGTATATTTTCTGAAAGCATTTGTAGGTTTTACAGTGGCCATGTCTCAGAGGACGCGCTCAGGACCTTAAATTTTCAGCTGTCTAATGCAAAACTACCAACTGACCTGGTAAAAAGCTTATCCTCTTTCCTTCATCTTTACAGGCCCTTGCTGGGGCAGCAGAGCATAAAGCAAGGCAACATGAGAACAAACGAAACTGAACGGTGGTAAAGAGCACAGGTTGCACCCCAGCCCCAACACAGCACTGTAAGCACCACAGGTCTGATTAGGGGGTCAGAGTCAAAAAATGAACTAAAATCATACCTTGCATTGCAATTGGAAAGGGGGAGCAAAGGGAAAAGAAATAAACAGTGAACCTGAGAGCATCTTGGACTGCCAGTAGGAAAGATTCCCACAGCTGGAAACCCTGTTACCCAGGCATTAGGAACAGGAAAACTGCCAGAAGGCACCACTCAGTGATCCCGGGCACATGGGGAAGGAGGCAGCGCAGCTGCGGGAGCAAAGGCGAGATCGCACTGGAGACGTGCGGCTCGCTCCGAGCAGGCCCACGCACTGCTCAGAGCTGCGTCCTCACACCGAGCTGTCACCCCTCGGAAGGGCTCGCCTGCACGTGGGCAGCACAAGGTGACACAGCCTCTTTCACACTGTGCAATGCCTGTGCCGAGGCTGCTGAGCTCTGCCTAGCACCACGGGTCGTAAAAGCAGAAAGAGAGAGAGAAACCACACCAGCAAGCATGCAACGTACAAATCTCACACTCAAGGGAGCTGCTGCAAGTCACATTCACGGCATGACACACACGCAGCAGGTACATATCACACAACCTCACATCAAAAGTTAGAGTGTAAGCAGTTCCTGTGTTACAACACGATAAAAACTCTTCTGCATCTTTGTTTTGTCAAAATTTAAAACTCTACTAATCAGTTTGTGGCCCAACAACTACCATTTGACACTACCTGCTGTAATAACAGAAGATTTTTAGAAGATTCAATTTTAATTAAACATTTGTCCCTGTTGCAGCTCAGCCCGCTTCCTCTGAAGTTACTTTTGCAGTGGAAGTATTACTAATCTCTTACCACACTATCAATACACCCTCACTTTGCCGCATACCAGTACTTAAGCAAGCTTAGCTGGTTCATGTTTCTGCAGCAGGAAAATGGGAAATACCCAGGGGTCAGCAGCACTCGGTGCAGACACATACCCAAGTCTTCACACACACAGCACGTAACCCACTAGGCAAGTCCCACTTTCACTCCATCCTTCCCACTCCTCCTCTTCCACAGAGGCTGCACAGTTTACTCACGCTCTCAAGGTCACACGATTGTCAGACTGAGGTTTACCAAGGCCAAATGGATGGGAACCCTGGGTTTTTCTCTGAATCTGTCTGTGAACAAAAGGCACAGATCTCCCTCAGTAACTTACCACTGAAGGCACTTTACACAAGCTCAACCTGTGGTCCACGGACTACTGGTAGGAGGTAAGATATTGGAACAATCCCAAGATGACCATGAAATAACCTATGAAAACAAAAAATGACCACCACGCAAGCAAGTAAATAAAATAAGAGAAAATAAAGTGAAGAGCTATGTCTGGCTGGAAATGAAAACCACTGCAGGAAGACTTTGAGGTGATCCCTGGATTATATAATTTACAGAAAGAGGATTACCTGGTCCTTGGACTAAGAAAGTCTAAGAAAACATTGCTTTGCACACCAAATGCATCTGAGGCTCGCTCTTTGTCCGCACAATTAAAATCGGGTGACCAATCTGTCAAGAAACACCAGCGATATCTGGAGTAAACATGAGATTAATTTGATGATCTAACAGGCCGTTCACATCTTAAGCTTCAGAAAGTAAATAAGTTCTTTGACAGAAAAAAGATGTATTTTAAAAACTGATAAATAACTGTAAGAGTTGCATAACTTTACTAGAAGATTTTATTACTAGTTTTGGACAACATGCCCTCCCAAAAACAGTGACCTAGAAACTTCCAGTTTGGTTTATTCGCCTCTGCTTTGCAAAGCGTGTTGCTTTTTTAGCATTTCCGCAAAGTTTTGGAATAATACAAAAAACAGTATGGTATTGAGGAGAACTCTAAGCTCTCTGGGATTTATGAAGTTAGCGAGTCTCATTTAAATTTTCAATGAAATCACCCAGAAGTGCTGGAACACTCCTCCACCCACACTAGCCCCAAGACAGCTATGAAAACACAGATGAAGGGAGAGGTGAAACTGATCTAATGGATTATAGGTAAATAAATAAAAGGTAAGGGGCAAACAGATGGAGATATCTGTTACTATTAGTGCCGTTTCCACAGATGACCTCACTTTTATCTTTAAATTTCCTTTTGGAAAAAAAAAAAAAGCTGTCTAGATATCATTGTATTGCAAATAACTACGAACCATATGTTGTACTACTCTATCTACCATCACTGTAGGAACAAGGATGGATGGACCGACAATACAAACACAACAGTGTTTTGGTTTTGTTTGGCTCAGATTATTAGCTCAGATTTCTCCCTGCCTCCAGGAGTAGTTCAGACAAAGAAATTTTAAATGTAGAGCTTAACTAAATTCAGAGAAAATTTGGAGTAAATTTGAAATGTCACTTGTGAAATTGCTTAACCTAATGGAAACAGTTTAATTTCTCCAGTTTACACGGCCACGTTAAACATTTCCCCACAAGTATAGAGACTAACGTCAGCCCCATGACAGGCCATTGTTACTACAGCCAGTCCACCATGCTCACTGAATTCAAACACTTGCATACATGTAACCAAATACCATCTAGAAATAAAAATTAAGAGACAAAGCATGTCATCTGTGAAAACACCATGTAGAGATCCCTTTACAAATAAAGAGGCAGTAAGAGGTTTAGGTGGATGCTCACAGGAGTACTAATTAAGTCACACCTATGCCAGCTCCATTAAGGGCTCAGGGTCCTTTCTATGAGCACAGCTGTCCCAGCAGAGTAAAAAGCATCCCAGACAAACAAGTAACACCACCAGCAGAGCTAAGCTGTGCAATACTAAATGCACCAGGGATAAGAAGGCTGTCACTTGGCTCGATTTGCAAGCCCTTTCCTGGTGACAAGCACAGGAGCGCTGCCGCCACTTACCAAGTGATGCACTCTGCAACGCAGCGCGTGGTCCTGCAGGTTCCTGCAGGGCTGTCAAGCTTCCTTTCAAAATGTCAAGCAGGGCCCCAAGTGAGCCCAATCAAGCTTTAAAATCCTTTCGCAAGTTTAAATAGCCAGGTGAATATCCAGGCCCCAGTTGTGTTAATTAGTTTCACAAATCAATTGTTTCACATAGGACATTTAAAACCCATCTATATAATTGCAGCACGTTATTTGTTCAGTATTGTGAACACATGTACAGATACTTTTGCAGAAACAAATCCTAGCAAGTTGAAGACAACGTTCGCAGGAGCTGAGCAACTTCGGCTCCCACCTCTGCAAGAAGTCAGACCCCAACTTAAACCTGCGTCCGTTACTTCACTCCATTGCAGTTGCGACGCCTGCAAAGCACGTCCACAGGAGTCCATCTTTACGATGCTAGCACTTACCTGGCCTGCTTTAATCAGGGCATTCAAATCTAGACAGAGAACAAACAAATCAACTATTATAAGCAAACGCTGGGG